ATGTTCGTACGAACCCTTCATACGAACAAAAGTAAGAGAAATTTAGGATAAGAATACGAACATGATCTTGCATGAGGCCCATTGACTGTAAAGGGTTTGCTTTTACTCCAGAGGAGTGGACGCAGCGTAAATCTAGAGTTAGAAGCTGGGTTACTTGCCAAACAATGTGAAAGATTTATTTTGAATGCATAAAACTTGCAAACATATCATTACTTAAAATGTAAAAAATATAATAATAACTGATCTGATCAGTCAGAAAATCAGTGACATTATTTTCACCACATTGATGCACATAGGCTGAAACTCAGGTTATCCTGTAGGTCCTGGTCAATGAAAAAAATACATTGAAGCCTGGCTTTAATATGAAAATGAGGGGAGACTGCACACCTACCGGCTGCATCCTTGACTGATGTGGTGATTTATGTTTGTGTTTCGAGTCGGTGCATGCCTCTCAGCTACAGTTTCATTCCCCATTTCCCCTTCAGCCAAAACGTTTCTTACAAGGATGATAACACAAAGCAATCTGTTACAAAGGCAAAGGGTCTCCCACTTCTAAGTATTAATTCAAAAGCACTAAGAGAAATGATAATAATTCTCGGGGAATGGCAGGGGTGCGGCTTCTGGATCTATAAATAGATCGAAGCGGCATAGTCTGCATGATGTGAGCTTTCTTTACTGCACCACTATTTCAGTCAGTCTGAGGGTCTCTCTGCATTTGTTACTTTCAAAAAAAGCCTCTACTCCCACGTGCTGCTTTTTTCCTTTCCCACCTTTCTCCTCTAGATCACTAGTCTCGACACTTTTGCCTTTTTCTAGCTCAAACTTTTCCCCACTATAAAGTAGAATAAAAAAATCGAATTATCTCTCTAAATCAATACAAAACCCTGAGACGGAATCAATCAACAGCAGGATAGTAGTTGCTGCAACTTTTCAATGCAGTAAAGAATCTCTTTCACCTCAAAAACACTGGAGGATTAGCTGGAGAGGGAAGAACTGGTCACAAAATGCAATCTCTGGAGAGTTCAGGGTAAGAAGGTGGGGAGAAATTAATTTGCACTTAAATAGACTGCAGTCATGTTCTTTTTTTATACGTAAAATGCCAAGAAAATTGAAACGTCGAGGTTTCTGGATTACTTTTTGTCTAATAAATACAGAGAGCTCAAAATCTAAAATAAAAACACAAAACAAAAAGAAATGTATAGTTTGTGGAAATTTTAAAACAAATGCTCAGCAAGCACAATTTAATATTTACCAAGCACACCAATGGAGATAATAGGGAGAGAAGTCATTGTGCTGCACAAACAGAACAGCCGCAGAGAGTCTGTTTTCAGGCTTCAATTCCTGGAGGGTGTGGTGTGAAACAAACATGAAATTTTATTATTCATTACAAACGTAACTCAAGACATGCTTGCTAATTCAGGGCAGAAATGTGATGGAGTCAGCGTACAGTAGCTGCATGTATTTTCTGTGGTTGGTTGTTGGTTTGTTTTTGTTTATCTTTTTTAAACCTCCACCAAATCAGCAGCCCAGTTCTAAAAGGCAGCAACATTGCAGAACATTTAGAGAGAGAGTCAAATGTGAAAAGTAAAAAAATAAAATAAAATAAAAAAACCAGCTTAAAAATAATATGTAGAACAATTAACCAGTTGTCCGATTAATTAAACTGTTTTTTTAAACAATTTATGAAATAAGCAACATCGGCAAAATCTAAGCAGACTAAACCAATTAAAACTAAGGCACACCTCCAGGCAGCCCTTGCATCAGGGGGCTTCTTGTGATGGAGGTACGTCTTCATGCTGTATTGTGTATACACAGCAAACCTCCTAAACATTCATACAGACATATTTTTACACCAAATCATAAAAGTGCTAATACAGAAATCATTTTGAGAAAATAAATTTATCTCAGAAAGAACAAAATTTGGTTTTACTGAAGCTGAAACACTAAAGGCAGCTTTTCCATATTTAATAAAAGGTACAAGGTATGACCAAATTACCACGGTCTGCAGATTTGAGTGGCCTAACTGTGTTTTTTATATAGTGATGCAAGGCTATTTAAGGTTTTATGCAGAACAAAATTTAAAAGGGATTGTTTTCAATAAGATGCCAGTACAGAGAACAGGAGCAACGTCTTCAAATTTCCTGTGCTTACGAGAAAATAAGATGCTGTATCTTGACCCAGTTATAGTCCGTGTACAGCACATTTTTGGAAGCCCGTAGAAAAGGTAATTACAGCAGTCCAACCTATTTGTTAGAAATGCAGGAGCTAATTTTTTAAATTAAATTTTGATACAAGCTCTAGCTTTTGAAATGTTTCTCAATTTATGAAAAGCCAATTAGTGATATAGATGATGTGACTGTTGTTTACTGATGTTTTGTATTTCATTTTTGCATAAATTGTGAAAGTTTAATTAATGTTTCTAAATGTGATGTATCAGTTGAAGTGCTCAAACACTGAATCAAACTGGTCCAAGAACTGAACCCTGAGATACACCACACACACACTCACTTTTGTCAGTGTTAAACTTGCACTCATGAAGCAAAGCTAAAGCGCTAAATCCATCTATCTAACTTGCCTTTTAGTTAAAATAAATATAGTTTTAGTTGGCTTCACCATGTTGTCTTGTAGTCTCATTGTTACTTCCTTTTGAGCCAGTGAGACTAATGGAGCAAAACCAAACAGATTTGCTTCAACAATTCACCATCAGCTGCCTTGACTTTTAAGAAAAACTGGTACTAGCAACAGCCATCGAAAAACACCAATGGTCTACTTCAAAACCCAACCACACCATCCATCAACTCTGTTTGTCGTCTGCAGTTTACTAAAAAAAAAAAAAAAACAAGAGTTGTGCTCGCTAATTCTCACTGTGGGGGTTCCACTTCCACACAAAACAGAAACCGTTTAAAGAAACTGCATTGTACAATCAACAAACTGCTCCTGACAGGAGCTCTATAATACTGCAAAGCCCACAAAGGCTCATTTACAGCCTCAATAGTGCCTAATGAGACAAGCAATAGATGAAAAAAAGAAAACATAACATGTGGCTTGGTCAATAGGTCACAGCAAGTAAGCACAATCAAATTCTTTTATTATGTGACTTACTGTATTTGGTCATTGGAATAGCTTTTACAGCTGCTGCACAGAAAGTGACTCCTTGTTTGCAAGGAGGCTGAAAAGTGGACATGACGTTATACTTGTTGTAGAAGGCAACATTTTAGGCTTTTAAAACTCATGTTGTGGCTGCAGCAAAGCTCCATGTGAGCAGAGGACACTGAATAACAGCCTTAAAGGACAAACAGAAGGAGACTGTGAGCAGACCTACCTGTCTGATGCCAAGTCTGTAGGCAACAATACGGTCCACTGCATTGGGATTCATCTGGGTCCACTGAAGCTTGAAGCCGTAGACTCTGGGTCTGTCCTGCCACAGAGGACTGTAGGTATCATAGTAGAACTCTGGAGGGTAGGCTTTACCTGAAGAAAGCACAATTGGATATTAATTAACTCTTTATCATAATGTACATGTTTACTTAGATTTTCAGCACTTTGTAAGCATTGTTGTCTTGATGCATTGAGTTCATATTTTCTACTGGTTTACATGTTGGGTTTCTCCAGGTATTCTGCTTTCCCCCCACATACGAAGAACAGGGATGCTAGGTTATTCTCACCTCTCAGTTGTTCCTAGGTGTGTGTTTGAGTAAATGCTTTTTCAAACTTTCCTCAAAATTATGTACAGAACCATGAAACAAATTTTTAATGTTAAAGATTAAACTATAATGCTACGTTCACACTGAACAGGTTTTGAGCATCTAAAACACACCTGACGCCTCAAGTTGGATGCGTTACATTCAGACTAGGGCCGAGACTAGACACGCATCTGAAGAGGGAGGAGCGTCTTGGTTTTTTTCCTGTCTGTCTTTAACGGCAGATGAAATAAAGATAAAATAAATAAAATGGCTTTGGTTTATTTACTAAAGAGCAACATTGTGCACAGCAGATAATTAATTCACCAGATAATCTAGAGGCGGTCTGTTCGCCGAGTTTCACCACTCCAGTAGCTGCGAGCTGACAAACTACCTTTTTGTCCCGAGCCCAGTTTAACACCGCGGTCAGTTTAACGAGCTGCTGACCCGCATCAGTGCTGATATCTCCTGCCAGAATACCAACTGCAGACGGTCGATTTCAGCTAAAGAGCTCCTGTCCGTCTGTTTCAGGTTAGTGGGCAACATTCAGGAAACCATCACGTGGAAAAAAATTGTCTCTCTGATTGGTTGATGCGGCGCGTCGAGCAGCAAAAGTTCAGATTTTTGAACTCGAACGTCGGCTGCTTTGGACGTGCCATACTATGCACGGAAAACGCTCTACCGCTACCTTCCGCTTCCTTGCACGCCAAACTAAATGTGCTGCAAGACCCCTAGATGCGCGTCCACCATAGATTTATCATGTAAACCGGCCGCTCCTGAAGCTCAAAACGTGTTCGGTGTGAATGTATCATAATATTATACATTAGGGCTTTCAGCTGCTCTTCTCAACTCTGAAACTCACTACCCCCTCTTTTTGTGTTCATGACTGGTCTGAAAACCCCAACACTTTTTGATTAGCCTATCCCTCTTAATGTCATTTGGTATATTTGCAGTTTCAATGTATCGTCATTGTTATTTTCATTATATTAATTGTTACTATATTTTTCACTGATATATTTTTTGCTGTACAATGTCCTTGAAGGTCATGAAAGACACTATAAAATGCATTATTATTATTATTATTATTATTATTATTATTATTATTATTATTATTATTATTATTACGATGCTGCAGCATGCAGATGACAATTCTCTTGAAGACCCCTCAGAGGAGGACCTACAATGGATTTTACCCAACTTTGGAAACAGCTTGGGCTTTCCATTATTATAAAAAGACCTAAGTCTTCTTTCAGCCACCTCCAAGCAGCAATAATCCTTCCATGCCCTCAAAAACTTCCACTGATAACACTGTCTTGGAAAATGTGGACCATTTTCAATATCTTGGTAGCCTCCTGTCATGTAAAGCTGTCACTGTTGATAAAATTAATCACCATCTTAGCTGTGCCAATGTAGCTTACTTAAAGCTAAGGGAAAGAATCTTTGAGAACCATGACCTCCAGGCAAAGAACAATGCCCTGGTTTACAACGCAGTATTACTATCCATTCCTCAAAAGATTAGATCATACGGCAAACACTTAAAAGCACTTGAGACATATAATTTGCGATGCATGTGAAAAATCCTGAGGATGAATTGGGAGGACTAGACAACAAACTACCAACAGTGCCTCCCATAATCCATCTTGGACAGGCAATGTAATCACCATGCCTGACTCTCATCTCCCAAAGCAAGTTCCCTATACTTAACTAGCTAAACGTGCTTCTTGAGGTCAACAACAGAGGTATATTAATAACATTAAAACAAATATAAACCATGTAAGCCTTGAAACCAGTGGCGGCTGGTCAATAGGGGGCACACGTTCGTCCCCCCCCCCCCTGTAGTTTTGGTACACAAAAATAAAATAAAATAACAAAAGAAAATGTTATAAATGTTTTGACAATATATAGTATATATGTGTTCTGATAAGCAAAATAAATAATTTATAGTTATTGATGTGTAAACCTCTATTTTACGCATGAACGTTTTTGTGTGAGTCACTTCCGGGTCACGCTGGGTTCGCTGCAACAGAGTCCCATAGAAAAGTCATTGCAAGATTTTGGAAATGTGAAATAAGTCCCCAATGCAAAAGAATAAGACACCTTGTGTTCGCAGCTGACCTGCATGCAAACACAAGCGTGGGTTCACCCCGTGTCGACGACTCAATGACGTCATATTAGTGTGACGGCCGGAAGGCAGAGATCACGAGGCGGAGTTTGGAGAACAAACTAGTCGAGAATGGATGAGAAAAACAACCCTGTAAGTCCCTTACAGCTAAAGCTTTTCAAAGCAGAATATATGAGGAGAAACTTAAGTGAAGTAGCTTGAACTGAAAAAGCCAGACATAGTAAAAAATTGAGCAAGAACATGGTGTAGTTAGATTGTGTTGGTGTTACCTTTATTTTTGAGCAACATATAATATAAATAATGGTGAACACAACTTAATACAATATAAAGACATTTTATGTTGTTCCTGTTTTATTTTTTGTAAATTACTATTGTTTGAATTTATTATTGAAAAGGGGCAGATATTAGAAGACATTTTCTTCTTTCTGCTGCCTTTCATTTAACTTATTTTTTTCTTCTGTTGTGCATAGTTTATTTTGTTTTTTAATAAATGAAAACATTTTTAAAATAAAAATATAATTAATTTATTAAATTAAAATAACATTAATTGTTCTCTATATATTAATTATATATTACAAAGCCCACTTGTAGCCATCTCCACATTGAATTAAATTTGTGCATTTATTGTTTTAGATTGGTGACACCATCTTTAGCCATTCACAAAGCATCTGATCAGAGCTACACTGCTGCAGGCAGACAGGTTCCTGCAGGACAGTTCTCTGAAGCAGCTCTGAAGACCATGGAGGCTCACCCAATGCTGAACAGGACCAAGAAGTCTGATCTAGTTCAGGAGCTGCAGTGGTGGCTCTGTACCAGCTGCTCTTCATGGAGAACAATCTGCAGAACACCTTCAGAGACTGTGACTCTGCTGAAGGTTCTCATCACATCTCCTCTGACCACAGCTGAATCTGAGAGGAGCTTCTCAACACTAAAGATAATCCAGACTTTCCTCAGGTACAACATCACATCTCACTGCACTGACCATGCTCTTTAGAGAAGAATCTGGTTAAAACATCCCTGACTTTAACCAGAGTCATGAAGAAATTTGTTTCTCAGTAACAGAAGAGCAAAATTTACGTAGAGAAAATAAAACACTACATGTTATCGTAATGCTGTTTTATTATAAATACACTGGTGTGATACAACTTAATACATGTTTGATTGCTTTTGGAGATGAGCCTATTTTGGATTTGTAGCCCCCCCAAGAAAAATCCACCAGCCACCACTGCTTGAAACTAGCGAAGAATTCAAAAAGAAAAAAATTGTGTAGGTCTTCTGGACGGGTTCTTCTCTAATGAAACGTTTCGTCTCTCTTCCAAGAGACTTCTTCAGTCTGAGAGTTTCTGGCAAAATTCAGGCTTTTAAGCCCTGCCTCCATGTGACTGATACTCACATCACACATCACAATCCAGAAACACATCACAAATCATAGAGAAGAATTAGCTAAATGCAGAGTTAATTGGAAGAAAAAATAACTGTAAGGGTACTGCACTGCTGACCTCTACTTCTACTCTACAAGAATACTGGGTCCTGGACTGGCCTCTATGGCCATCTGCAGACACACAAGGACCAATGAGGACAGTCATTCTAATCTACAGAGAGAATATTTAGTCGCCTCTGTGGCCCCAAGAGAGATGGGCAACCTGTCCCAGGAGTTTCTCACCTCTCAATAGGCATCAGTTCCTTGTGGCCCTGAACTGGAACATGCAGATACAGAGAATAAATAAACAGATACAAAATACTTTTTGATCAATATTCAGAATTTGACAAGAAAGCTGCTTCGGCAGTTTAAAAACTATTTTTAAAACAAATCTACCTTGGTAGAGTGTGTTGTCCTTGTGCCTGAACCATGCTTAAATAACAGATCACTGAAATCTAAATATTGCTTTTTGAAGTCACCACAAAACTACTTATTAAGTGATGCTCAATGTGATTATGTCCTGTAGGACAAAAGCTGGAGGAGCATCCAACCTTCACATCAGATTAATCTGTTTGAAATCGAAGATGGACTTTTGCATTTCATCACATTACATTTTAGCTAGTAGCGCCAACCTTGATAGCAAGATGCCGTTCGTAGATAAGAAGCTGCAGTCTATGTGACCAAACAAACAAACAAACAAACAAACAAACAAACAAACAAACAAACAAACAAACAAACAAACAAACAAAAATGCAGGGATTTAAGGTTTTGGAACTTCACCTTTTTTCAAAACTCAAAAGTATGATATGTATTCTTCAACTAATAAAACCAAACAGACCTCATACAGAACACTGGTTTGTAAACATGGTAGCATATTTGCTGCCTTTTCGATGCTGTGATCTGATGTGACATCACAGGGAAAATCTCAATAAAAGGCATTTAGTTCAACTTAACTGTTAACAATTAGGTCAGCAATTCTAAGATTTTTATTTAATATATAATGTATATATGTAACTTCAGATCTATGTTTTCTTTTGAATACTTTGCACACGTGCTCTCAAAACTGAATACAAATGAAACTATCTTAATATGAACTTGTAGAGATTATTTTTGAAGTATTTTAAAGCCAAAACAAAATGAATTAGCTCGACATTTCATTGTTTAAAGGTTTGTGTTCCAGTTCTGATTTTTGTTTTTATTAAAAGACAAAAGTTTCAGCTTACGCTACTCAACAAACCATTTTCATAAT